GTCAAATATTCTACCCGTGAATTTGCAGTTGGTCTGTTCTGTTTTTCATTCCATCTATTAATTGACATACCATGTTCCTTTCTGAGCCATAAACAGCTTTTTGATGATAGTTATTTCATACCTAACACATCTTCCATCCACTGAGGATGTTAATTTCACTCTTTAAAATTTCATTCACTCTGTGTGTGTGTGTGGCTAGAAATCAAACTGAGGGCCTTGTTTTTATTCATGCCAGACAAGAACTCTACCACTGACCTACATTCTTTGAAGATTTCTGTCGGTTGTTTTATTGGGTTTTTTTGTTTGTTTTGTATGTGTGTAGGGGTTGTTTTGTTTTGATTTTAAGATGTCTCATTATATAGCCCAAGCTTGCCTCAAATTCACAATTCTGATGCTTCAGCCTCCCAAGTGCTAGGGATTTACAGACGTGCCACCACCCCCAGCTAAAATTTCCTTTTTTAAATTTTACTTTATTATTTTTTATTGTATATGTATGCATGTATTGCCTGCATATATATGAATGCACCCGGGTTGTCCAATGCCCATAGATGTCAGACAAGGGCGTTGGCTCTCCTGAACTACAGTTATAGACAGTTGTTAGCTACCATGTAGTTGCTGGGATTTGAACCTGGGTCTTCTGCAAGAACAGTCAGCGTTCTTAACCACTGAGCCATCTCTCCAGCCCCTTTTTATTTTGGAGACAGGGTCTCACTATGTAGCTCTGACTGATCTGGAACTCTCTATGTAAATCAGACTGGCCTAGACCTCACAGAGATCTGCCTATCTCTGCCACTAGAACGCTGGGATTAAATAGTGCTGGGATTAAAGGTGTGTGCTACCACATCCAGCCTTAAAATCCCCTCAAGTCTTTTCCTTGACTATAATGTTTCTACTGTGACTTATGAACGCTTTCTCACACTTGGCTTCCTCCAAAACTTGGTGTTTCTGAGTGTTCTTGTTTCCAGATTTCCCTTTAGCATTTTGAAGAATGAGGGTCCTGTCCCTGACTCCATGGACTCCAGGGGTGAGATGTCAGAGTCCTAAGCAAGAGTATCCCCCAGGCCTTGCTCTGTTCCTTGGGCTAGTTACAAATCCACCTTTTGTCAGCTACAGGAAGAGTCAACTGCTCCTCCTAGAGGAAGAGTCTAACCAGCTCCTGAAATAATCAAAGCCCAGCAAGCCCCTGGGCCAGCTGCCTCTCTTCAAATATGTGATCCACTTTTGCCATTTGCCTCCTGTTTTCTAAGGATTCCATATTATTACTTAGGGTTTCCACATCATTACTATCTACTGGATGTCCCTTCCTATTTTTGTGGGTCCAATTAGAGATTTTTTTTAAGTAATGCATTATTTTTCTGTCATTCATATGAGTATATAGAGAGAGAAGAGGGCCAGAGCCTATGCTCAAGCATTCAGGTCCAGTGTCTACTGGACATTTTCTAGATTTTATGAATGGTTGTTTCCTTGAGATTTTGAGTGAAAACTTGAAGCAGAATTACCCAGTGATTTTTTTTTTCCTGCAGATAGCCTGATTCTGCTTTCTCACTCAATTTTTAGTTTCTTCATGTCCTTTCCTTTTTTCCATTCCTTCCTAACAATTCTAAAAGTTACTGACTTAGGCAGGTGTTACAGAGATAGGGTAATCTATCTCCATGGTATCCTCACATGGCTCAGAGCCAGTGAGAGTAACAAGGCCTTGAAGAAGGCGCTAGATAGAAGTGAAGCCCAGCCGGGCGCCCAGACCAAGGCGCCAGACCAAGGGAGGAGGGGTCCAAGGTCATGAGACTGAAACAGGCACTTAGAAACTACTCTAAGAAGTCTTGACTCCTCACCTGGACCCACGAGGTAACTGTGACCCAAGGCAAAAACTTGGCCTCTCTGCCTTCACTTCCTGTCTGTCTCCTCTCCTTTGGGTCAATGCTGACCTCTGCAGGACAACATATTAATCATTCGATGAGTGTCTATCTAACCTATCTCATCCCCCTTCAAAGGTAAAAGCACAGAGATAAGACTTTGTCCTAAACCTGCAGTCACCTTAGATATTTTGGGAAAAGCAATGCCTCAAAGAACAGGTGAGAGCAGTTATCTATGAGAGCAAGGCTGAACCCTGGAGCAGAAGCTGTCATCTCCTGAGAACCACACTGCCCACCTCAAGCAAAGATAGACACCTTTAGACTATCTTGCAAGGACCAGAACTGAGACAATGACTGAGGGTTCCACACCTAGACCAGGACTGCTTAATTATATATACCTCTTGCCCTTGCCCCAGTTCTATCTAAACCTCAGCACCTCAAAGACAGACTTGGGGTCACTGGATCCCCTTATTTGTTCCTCTTTCCACTGTAACCACACTGAATCTATCTGTTTTTCCTCATTACTTGTCTCTTTAATTGGCATACTGGGAATAGGTAACCAAGCCTAGGCTGTTCTGGCCTGTCAAAGCCCCAGGCTTTTGCTCTAAAAAGCTCCAGTTATGTCACTAATGCATATCATATCCAGGGGGATGAGAAAGGGCATCCATGGCCTGTAGACAGCCAGAACTTAAGTGACATGAGAAGGATCACTTACATTTCCAGCTCTGGCTGGGTGAGGGATGTTTCTGGAGATCAACACTACCCTGAGTGATCAGGAGCCTGAGCACCACAAAGAGCAAAGAGTTCAGTAGTCATCTTGAGGCCCTGTCAAGAGCTCAAGCAGAGAGGGAGTGGTCTATACAGGTAGCAACAAGGGAAGACCTGTCCCATACAAGGAAAACCCCATTTGTTTTGTTTTTGTTTTTAAAGGTTTTGACTATGATATCAGTTTTTTAATATTTTATTTATTATTTTTATTTTATGTGTTTGAGTGTATTGCCTACATGTATGTGAGTGCACCTGTGTCAATGCAATGCCTCAGAGGTCAGAAGAGAGCTTCAGATTCCCTTGGAACTGGAGTTAAGGACGGTTTGTAGCCACCATGTGAGTGCTAGGAATCAAACTCGGGTCCTCTGCAAAAGCAGTCAGTGCTCTTAACCACTGAGCCATCTCTCCAGCCCTGAAAGACCCCATTTGTTAAGGATGGTGGGAGCCAGGAGTCATCTCAGACTCAGAATTAAAAGTCAGAAATATGGGGCTGAAGAGATGGCTTGGTGGTTAAGAGCACTTACTGTAGGGCTAGAGAGATGGTTCAGCAATTAAGAGCACTCACTACTCTTACAGAGGACCTGGGTTTGGTTCCCAGCACCCACATAGCAGCTAACTACCATCTGTAACTTCAGTTCCAGGGGATCCGATGCCCTCTTCTGACCTCCATGGGCATTGCACAACATGGGTGCACTTACATACATGCAGGCAATATATTCATACACATAAAAATATTTTTTAAAAAGAGCACTTACTTCTCTTGCAGAGGACCCAAGTCAGTTCCTGTCATCCACATTGGGTGGTGAACAAACGCTTATTACTCCAGCTCCAGAGGATCCAACACAGTCTTCTGGCCTCCTTGGACACCTACCTACACATGTGCATACCTTCATACAAACATACACCATACATAATTTTTAAATAATAAGCCTTTTTAAAGTTATAAATATGGAAAGAACACCAGATGAACTCTGAGTTTAGAAAGGGGTTGAAGTCTCATGTGAACTCATAGGTTTCAAGATAGATATAGAAATAAACAGCTGTAACTTTGTATTGCTTGTACATATATGCAAAAATGTTTCCCAGCTCTGTTCACTGAGAGGGCCTAGACTCTGATATTTTTCTTTGAGATAGAGTTTTGCTACATAGCCCTGGCTGGCCTGAAACTTGCTAAGTAAACCAGTCTGGTCTTAAACTTGCAGTAGTTTTCCTGCCTCTCAAGTATTGAGACTACAGGTGTGCACCATCATGCTTAGCTGCCCTGGGCTCTTTGGATCACTACCTTTTGTGGCTTTCTATTGAGGTGTAATTGACAAAGTGTATGTTTAAGGTATATAGTATGACATTTGGAAGATTCTAAACTTTTATACTATCTGACATTCAACCCTGAAAGGTGGGGACTGTCAGCCCCATTCCCAGTTCAGGAAACTAGGGCTCAGAGAAGAGAATTGTCATGTCCATGGCTACATGGCAGTGAAGGGCAAAGCCAGACATCTGAGCCAGGTTCTCAGAGGGTTTTGCCATGAGACACTGCATAAAAGACAAAGGAAGGGAAAAAGAGAGAAGTCTTTCAGAGCAGGAGTAACATACCAAGACTCTGAGTCAGACACAGGGGCAGGGCACAGCAAGACAGAGCAAGAAATATGAATCGCACATCTAAGTGTAAAAACAGAGAACTGGAACCTGAGACCTCCAGACAGCATCTCAGAACCTCTGTGAGCCAAGGGACCAGCTGGCCAGGGAAGTCAGTGGAGTTTGGTTAGACATAGAGCTCTGAACTTGCAGTCTTATTGTGAAGGACCCAGATCTCAGAGAAGCTTCCATTTCTGTAGGGGCAATTGGGACAGCAATATCCCAACAGAAAGAGAAGCAAGCCTAGCCTGGGCTAGCTATTGGTCCTTTATCATCACCTGGCCCTAATCCTACCCAAGGGGACGACATGTCACAGGAAGCAACTTTTAGAGAACCCAGCTCTGCCTGAACCATCCCTTGCAGGAGAAGACAAAGCTACGACCCCCTCAGCCCCTGGGCCTCTGATCATCTGGTGTCTGCCACCCACCAGAGAGTAGGGCAGGCAGCAGAATGCTGTAGAACCGCCCACACTGGCCAGGTCTCCGGGAAAATGAGCCTAGTCTCCATCTGGGACTCAAAGGAGAACTGGGAATAAGGATTTGATTGAACTCTCTTGACAGCTTCCAGTTTGGATCTCAGATTCTGACTCAGAAACTGAGTATGAGGCTGTAACCTCAACCCAGCAGGGACACAGGATCACAGGCTTGCCAGTTCCTCAGAGCTAGTACATGAGATGCCAAGTGTCTTTCTTCATCTACTCTGCCCTCCTGGAACTTGTCAAACAGAGAAACTCCACAGAAGACCACCTCACTGCTTTAATGGGAGGGGGATACCCTCTGACACAATGCAAGGCCCTGAGCCCAGAAAAATCTCCAGCTCTAGTTGCAGCTGACTGGCTGTAATTCGGTAGTGGCCCTTGATAAGACCCTGTGTTGAGCAGATATGGCATCTCCAATGGGCCTGGATGATGCAGACAGCCTTGAGCACCTGCTGGTAGCGCCGGCGGGCATGCCACATTCGGATCCAGGACTGCAGTCTAACCACCACCCACTGCTCCTGTTGAAAGGTATCCAGTACCTTCTGGCGCTTCCTGTCCCAAATCCTTGGCAGCAGCATTCGCCACCAGCACTGGATGATCCAGGCCCTGAGGGCCGCGTGCCCGACGTACCAGTGTGCCACACCACCATGCCTGGATCTTTACCTCTGGTGTCTTTTCAGGAGGGTTCTGGTTTACCTAGGACTTGCAAAGAGAAAGTGTCGCGAGCCGGGACTCTGTCCAGCAGAGTCCAGGAAAGACGACACAGACACCAAGGTGAGGTTCAAGCTTCTGTTTCTCTTTCTTCCTTTATTCTCTCTTATTATCTCTCATGTTCTCTTCACTATGATGCTGTCTCTCTGTTGCTGTGTCCTTATGATGCTGTGTTCCCATGATGCTGTGTTCTCCTGTTGCTGTCCTTATGATGCTGTGTTCCCCTGTTGCTGTCCTTATGATGGCCGGTACCACTCACACACGTGCAGTGGCCAGGCAGAGTGTAGCTCATAGGCACGTAGCAAGATCATCAGGCTGACAGCACCTGTTTTGGGGCTCACCATACTACAGAGTTGGGGTAAACAAGCGGGATTCGGGATTCTTGGCAATCAGCCAAGAGTTGAAGTAAACAGCACGAGGTTTGGCAGCCAGCCAGGGCTC